ACTTTGGTTCATCATACTAACTTCATGGTGTGAAGAAAACAGCACTTGCATGATTTTTTTCCTCTTAATTTGTTCTAAATTGTAACAAAGAGCTCTGCAAGAAGCAAGTGCTTATGTTAATTAACTCTGAGTAAAGAAGGTCACTGGTATATATGGGGCTCACTTTGTGGTTTTAGTTATAGATTTTCTTCTGCAATTAGAATTCATCAGCAGGCATTGTAAGCATGGGCAGGTTGTCACTTTTTTATCCAGCACTTTAGAATTGAGTGAATTTATTGGTTCTTCTCTAAAGACATTTAAAATATAATAAAAATAATGTGATTGACTTAGGAAATTACATAAATGTTTCAAGTATACCATAATTATAAGCATACCTCAAATATTGATATTATGGAGTCTTGGTATTATGGCTGAATTTTTTAAACTGCATGTAAATTATCATTCAGTACTTTTACAACATAAAGAATTTTACAACATGAAGAATTAGCAAATCTGAATTTAAGTTGTTTTATATGAATTATAAGCACAGAGATAAAATCATAAATGCAATAAAATCTTGTAAATAATCCATGATATCAAAAATGTCATTAGGTTTTAGAGAATCCTAAGTAGCTAAAGACAATATTTCTAAAAAAATACAACTTTGTAATGCCTATTTCCAGTGTTCACTTAGATTTAGTTTCTTTGGAAGCAAGCCATTACTTTTGTGCCTAAGAAGTTTATGGGCCATTATACATGTTATTTATGCTGTACATCAAACATAGTTATATATATTATTTATATTAGATTTAAACCTGAAATTCCTTATGTAAGCTAATATTTGAATTCCATGTATGGTCAACAATCTAGATATATTTGCTTCTTCCAGTCCACTCCAATATTAACTAAGAATCACTATGAACAAGTTGGCTTTGGATGTGCTCAGCCACAGTACAAAGGAAATAATGAACGGTATGCCGTTCCTGTGATAATCTTCTCTTCCTGGGAATTTCAAAGTTAACTGAACACAACATTGGTCCTCTTCTCTTTGTTGTTGGCACAAAATTAAAAACTTGCTTTCTAACTAAAAGCGATATCAAAGAAGGCTATTCTATCTAAAATGTCCTAGGGCTTAATAGGCATCACTTAATCCTTTTAAGCCTTTCTTTGACAGAATTAATTAGTACCCCCTTCTTTTTCTGATTCTGTTCCTCCTGTTATTATTTGTGTTATCTGAATAGTAGTGGTCTCATTGTCAAACCAGTGAGCCAAATAAGGCATTGCCTAGAAAAGCTTGGTTTCATTTTTTAAATTCAAACAAGTATATTAATATTTATTCTCATCACTCACTAAGAAATCCAAGATAGACAAAGCACACATCTTTATCATGAGCTTTCAACCTGGATAGGGTAAAATGCCAGGTTCTTATAAAAACCTATACTTTCTTCATTTTCTTTCACCAGATTTTTTTCTCTAGACATATATATATTTTTTATATATAAAAATGAGCTAAGGTCTCAAACAAAGGCATTTATCATTCCTGTGGTTCCATTGTATAATACGTATTAATTCAGATTATGAACATGGGCCAAAAAACTGATTTCTTACTTGTTAGTTTCATCCTTAACAGAAAGATGTATAAACACAGGAAAAGACATGAGGCTGTTTTCTACATTTATAATTCCTTTATTTGCAGAAGCTTAACTATACCGATATTGTGCATTTTTCTTTGGCACCATGGAGGATTTTCCCAGGGTAAGCTATCATAGAAGGATTTGGAGTGCACTCCCTGCCCTCTCCTAGTTTCTAAGGTACAGAAAAACATTTGCACAAAGGGAAGTGAGAAAGAAGAACCAGCATGACACCTTGATTACATGGGTGATCTCAAGTAAGTCACTTTGAAGAAAGAATAATACATGAAGGATAAAATTCTAGAAACTGAGAACCTTAAAGTATCCGTGCCTTGTATCCCTTGGAAATTTCTATGCACCCTCAGAACATGTATCCAGAATGTGAAGACTGTAACTTAGAGAATGTGTTTCAGAAGCTCATGGGAGAGGGGGATGTGACTCAGTGGTAAAGCACATGCTTGAGCAAGGCCCTGGCTCAATCTCTAGCATCAAAGCAAAACCAAATCAAAATGCAAAAAGAACCACAGAAATTACATAATTAATCAATGACAGGTCTTGATTTAACTTGATTTAACTTCTGTCGGCCACAGGAAAGAGACCCATTAGAAAACTCCCAAGTCCTTAAGAGATGGCAACCTAGATTACATAGATTGCATAGGAGGCCTGGACCCCTGAATGGCTGCATAAAGTAAAATCCTCTTATGGCTCATGAATGAGAAATAAATCTTTACGGTGTTCCAATTCCAAGCTTTTGGGATTGTTTGTTATAGCACTTAGCCTGCCCTGGCCGATGGAGTAGCTAATGTTACTGGGTAATGTCTCACCACTATAAGGGTGAAGTGGCCTTGAAGTCAAGAATTGCAGTGTCCAGAGAAAGCCTCAAATGGGAGTCACAGCCAGTTCTCAGGAAATGAGACAGTGCAAGAGACAGCCAGGATAAGGCCAAAGCAAAGAGAACAGATGAAAGCTACACGACCTACAGACTACATAGCCGTTGCCTGCAGAGCTCTGGGAGTGGGCCAGAAAGCTGCTCTTAGGGGACAGCATACAGCAAAGCCTGCAGTCAGCCTCCTCCCACTAACAGACAGACAGCAAGTTCTCACATCCCAAGTGCCATTTTGAGGAGGAAAATAAACTCCAGGGCTGAAGGTCTTTCTAAAGAGATCATCGAATCCACCTTTGACAGGGAATGGGAACAGAAAAGTTTAATCTGGAAAGAAACTATTGAAATTAGAATTCAAGATATTAATTGGAAAGTCTGAGATTTTCTACGTCCTGAGTCTATAAAGATGCTGAAGTTAATCACAGAAAGTAATTGAGTTTTAAAGGGAGGAGGCATATTTATTATGTGCGAGCTTGAGATTCTGCTTTTTTTTCTCTTCATGTTGTAGCTATGAAATACAGTTCAGATTTAAAATAGATGTGGAAAAATTATAAAAAACGCACATACATGAATAAAACAGTATATTTTAGTACTTTCTCTTTCTAAAATCTCAGCAGTGGAAAGGAGTGCACGGTCTGTTTACGGAGGACAGATTCCCTGGAGATACGGCTCAATACTAAATACTATGATAGTACAGGACGCTTACAAGCAGTACTGTTTCTTTCTGCAAAAGCACTTTCCTTAATGATGTATTTTGTCAAACTGGTGTGTAGGGGGGTGCTTTGACTGGAAGGCTAATCGATACAGTTTTCACCCAGTCCACTGAAGAGAACAGAATTTTAATTTCACTTGACAGATTGTTAAACTGAGATTCATACCATCTGTTTACTTCAAGCCAATTATTCATGTGAGCCTTGAATGTACAACTACCACACAATATAATATCTTTTTTAAAAAGTGAAGTCCTAAGACTGAGAAACATTATAAAAGTAGATTTTCCTAGTGTGTCACTTACTAAGCAGTAGCAAAGAGCTGCAAAAGAAGCGGCTCTCACTGCTCCAGGCCTCCTGGATGCCTTTCTCACACTCTTCAAACCATATGTCCAAGGATCTTGGTTCGCCACTTAGAAATTCATCCATATTTTCGCCCGGAGCTCCCCCTGGTGACAACGGGCCACCGACATGGAGGCAGCTGGTTGTAATTAAAAGAATGCACGCTCTCAGGAAAGCCCTGAAATTTCCTTTTCCTCTGTCACAGGATCTTACTTAATTTTCATAATCACCTGCTATATTTTGCACATACACTTCTTTACTGGGTTACTGTCCATTTTCTTTCAGTAGAATATAAATGCTATGAACACTGAGATGTTCTGACTTGCCTACCCTACTACCTCCACTTTCTAGAATAGCACTCTGTTTTTAATTGGAACTCAGTAAAAATCTATGTAATGAGTAAACTTAAATATTGATTTATGGAAACATTTTTCTTTCTTAGAGATTGATGAAGAAAGATTAAACCTTGATTTTATTATTTACCAACAATATCAAACTTTTAATCAGTTGTACTGGCTAGTCCAACACAGAAGGAGATGGTTCCTAGAAGTCATAGTATGTTACAAAGGACACCTAAATCAACCCACCTATATGATAAAGGAGAGTAATTTATTTAGTACCTCTCAATGTGTCCTTTAGCCTGGTTCCAGTGGGCCTGTGATTCAGATCCTCAATTATTCCCTTTAAGTTCTAGTTATATTTTATAACTTCTGGTTAAGAATTTATATATCCCTAGTTCTTAAAGCCCATGAGTTTTAACAGTGTTCAAATATCTATATGTTCCTTTAAACTTGTTTGTAAGATATTTTAAAGTATCAAACAAAAGTTGAAGTTTTTAGCCCCTTTTTAACAATGTGGCAGATAATGAGAGTGTGCTGTTCACTAACAGCGCTACTATTTAAAGTAAGGTAATGAAACTGGGCTTGGTGAAAAATATCTATAACTTCTGTACTCAGGAGGCTGAGGCAGGAATATTGCTGCAAATTTAAAGCCAGCCTGCCCTATACAGTAAAATTGTGTCTCACGTATCAAAAATAATTTTTTTCTTCTTTATCTTGAGAAGTCAGGCCCAATATAAATGAATATCACCTTATATTAGTTGAGAGCCCAGAATCTGTGAGTTTTTTTTTTTTTTTTTGTTCTTAGGGTTTAGGCTTGGGGGGTTTTTCTTCCCCTTGACTTTTACCCCCGGCCTTTTTTTTTAATATTTTATTTTGAGACAGAGTCTTGCTAAATTGCTTAGGCTAGCCTCAAACTTGCAGTCCTCCTGCTTCAGCAGAATATCTGGGATTACAGCCATGTGTCTCCATGCCCAACTCAGAACCTGTGAATTTTAAACTTAGAAATTAGTATTTTCCAGACCTTGCTATGAGAATGATTAAATTAGAACAGAGAACCTCTCAGAAGGCTTTTCCTCTCATATATAAAATAGGGTTTAAAAACTTATTTTGCTACTTCTTTCTGTCTTTTAATTGAAGGAATGTAAATGTCTGAATAGGCACCAAATTAGCTTTAAAATTTTCCCCAAATTTTAGTAGGAACTGATTAGTACAAAAACTGTTATCCACATTGGTTTGTGAGTTTTCACACACATTACAGTTTCCTTTAATACCGCCCATCTTTCTGAAGAGTTCCCTTTTTTAACAATGGATCAGTTTAGGGAAATGAATAAATCAAAATCCATGGGATATGGTTATAATTAAAGACTATTACTCACTTAAAGATAATTAAAGCAGTGAGACTATTCACATTCTAAGGGCATCTGGTACGAGAGAAGTACAGACAGGACTCCTCTGGTCTTCTTTACTCATCTTCACGGCTGAGGGATTCTCAGGCTTCGTTGTCATTGGTTATTCTTCTCAAGATCAGAAATGAGAATATTTTCTTCTAAATGTACTGTACTAAAGTTAGTGGTAGGATAGTAAGGATTCCCAAACCCTGCAAGTCTCCGGAAGAAGTTACTATTCCGCTTGTAGATGTAGAAGGAAAGTGTGGAGATGATCAGGATTATTACCAGTGTCAGCACGATTGCCAGAGGAACAATGCCATGGCTGGGCTCTGAAAGAAGGTGAAGAAAGAAAACCTCGGTGACAATGAAGCAAGAGAGATACTGTCACATAGTGCTGTCTATTTTATTATTCCTTAGAAAAATCAAAATATCCCAACCTACCTTTTCCTGGAAGCTTCTTTTCAGTGTGAACATCTAAAATCAATAAAAAATTATAATTAAGGTTTTCAGCAAAATCACGTCACTATGTATAGCAGGGTTCAGTAAACTATGGCTTATGGGTCAAATCTGGCCACTTATTTCTATAAGTAATGTTTTATTGGAACTCAGCCATGTTCATTCATTTATGTACTGTCTATGACTGTTTTCATAAAGCAATCCCAGAACGACAGAGACCATATGGTCCTAAAGCCAAAAGTACTCACTCTGTGGCCCTTCATAAGAAAAAATTGGTGCCCCTGGGTTTATAGTGTTGTTTATTATTGGTGCTCACAAATATACACTCATTTTTTTAAGCCAAAGAATTTTGATCAAGTCTCAGCACTGTGGTGCAATAGAAATACAGGTAAAATAAAGTTTTATTAGGATCTAATGTGGATTTTGTCCAGCAAGGATAACTTGCCTGGCTCCATGCAAGGATTTTATAATCAGCATCTTCTTACCTCTGCCAGCTAAAGAGTCCTGGGAAATGAATAACTCCTCCACTTAAAAAGTGAGGTAGCCCCTGTTTTAGGACTTTCTATTGTACAAATACATCCCTTTCAAGCAGACCATGTCAAACTTGAACTCTGCAAGTTCTGACCTAGGGAAAGGCCTGAGAAAGATGTAGAGGCTGATCCAGAGGAGGCTCAGTGAGCACGTCTGAGAGGAGGAGACACTGGGTGCTCTACTTGCCCTCACTCGGAGGATGGATAAGAAACATCACTGTTGTTATCAATAGCAAACCACATTAAAAAAAAAAAAAAGCTTGGTTTTGTAATTTAAAACTAATGTGAGGCAATTTGGCATTACATTATTGAAAACATTGTAAGTGAAAGTACTTTATTAAAGACTGTTAAAAGATACTTATTTTCAGGATAAGGAAGGAGCACTTAGGATATTTGGAGTGCAGTCCTGATGCAGACTCAATTTGCACAAATATTTTTCTCATCTGTAAAGTGGGGATATTTTAACTGTTCCACTACCTTGGGAAGTTGCTGTGAGGATAAAAGAGGTGTCGGGTATTATAAAGAGCTTTGAAGTCCTGTACATACAAGAAGAGATTGTGTGTTTCTGATTTGTTCTTGATACTTAGAGGCTGCTAATAACTTGGGCATACTATTTGTTAGCTTTAGTTATGTTTCTCAGACAGAATTAATACTCATGCTCCCAGGGTTTCAAACACTGGTGCCCACACTCACAGATTTTTCTTCCCTTCATTCCAACTGTCTAATCAGTCTCCAAGGCCTGATGAGTCTCTCCTCCTGTTTGTCCTCTCCTTTTAAAGTTCTGTCATGGAGATTACACATACTGATCCTGGCACTGGATGAGTGCGGTTTCATTGCAGGTATCCACAGAGCACACAGCAGGTTCCTGTCTCCTCCACCAGGAAGCTCAGCCTATTAGCCTGGCTGTGGCTGGGTCTTGCCTCGCTGGTCAGTTCAATTCCCTTCCCCTCAAACAGGAGCCTTCTACTCCAGTCTAAACTCATTTTCCATTGCTGCCTCTGGCCATTCTAGGCCTTTTGTTCCTCCTCTCTGTTCCAGCATCTAAAATTCCCTTCATCCTTCAAGATTCCAAAGCCTCATCTCCAAAGACTTCTCCAGCAACTCAGGGAGAACCAATCCCTCCTTCCTGATGATAATGGCATCTAGAATCTGTTCTGATTGTTAACAGAAATATATATCAAATATATGGATTCCATTTTGGGGGCTGGGGATTTAGCTCAGTGGCTCAGTGCCTGCCTGGCAAGTGCAAGGTTGTGAGTTCAATTCCCGGTACCGGAAAAAAAACAAAACCAAAAACAAACAAAGAAAAAATAGATGCCATTTCATGAGGCTGAAGGTGGAACTTTAACATCCTGAGTAGCAACATTTGAATGAAAGCTGCTGGTTTAAGTTCTAGTTCTCTTCGCTTGAGGTAAATTGCCTTTTTGGCTGTTCAATTAAAGCCAGTATCTCACGAGAAAGTCACAGAACCTTTGTATTTATAAGGATTTGTTCCTTCATATCAGTAAAAAAGGAGCTGAATATTCTCTGGCTTATTTGCTATAGAATAAGATGATAATGCCAGAACCTAGCAGATAATCTCTGAATACATGGATTCCACATAACCTTTAAATGCTAACATGGTGGGTTAACAGTAAGCAGGGTAGAATCCAGATGAAGCATTACCCACTGCTGTTACCAACCTGCCTCCATTTTACATATAAATCCCTTCCTGTCTTGACATGGGGATAACTGCCACACTCCTTCAGGGATCCTCCAGGAGATGCACTGGTGGGACTTGAGGGGGTCCATGTCTGGTTTCCGAATGCCCCAGTTTGACTGGTCTGTGGGTGTTCCATCAAACCACTTTACAGTTTCATCTGTGGAAAAATTATTGATTTACTATGAATGATGAGCATGGTTGTGAGACATTTTAAGTCTGAAATGAAGAACCATAAAAAGCGCCCCCAAAATTTAATGAGATTCTCTTGGAAGCATCTGCCTACCTTTATATGCATAGTCATGAACCCAACAGATACAACAAAGTTACTTTGTAAGCAATCCTCTATTTAATTTAGATATATTGTTGTCATTTAGTTCATTTAGGATATCATTTTTTTATGTAACAGTTTGAATTTTTAAAGATTCCATGTAATTTTTAATCAATTTAAAGAAATCATTTAGTAAATGAAAGTAGTCAATGTAAAGAAAGAATCTTTTGAAGTCCTAATATCTCTCTCATTACAAAATGACTCACTTTCTAAAGGAATTTTACAGTGCATTTTAAATAGCAAGCTAGTAATATACCAAGGGAGTAGGGCAATGGGAGAGTTCCTCCTGGGAATAGGCAATAAGGTGCGCATGGGGTGCTCTGTCTGTAAAGAACTTGAAACTAACAATAAAATTAACTAAAAGCCAGCCTGTTTTTTATTATCACCATCTGCTAAAAATTCTAAATAATGTCAGTGATTAAAATATTCCTTGCAAGGGCAGGTTTACCCTCTGCCCTGGTACACCACTGTAACAAGCTCTCCATGCCAATTAAAATAATTTTCCTTATAAGTAGTACCTTTCAATAAGCATCAATTACATAAAGAAAAGAATACCATGCTTCCATTTTACTACAAACTCTGGCTTTTATGAGTAGCAAATAAGAGTCCTGATAGTACAATTTGTCACTGAAACATTTCCGTAACTGTTGTGCTTTTGTAATACTGAGGAATCTGGGGCATTTTCAGGTCAGTAGGTTGTGGTGAGTAGGCTGCGACTGGGTCTGAACAGAGGCCCAGCCAGGCGTCTTCACGGGAAGTACAAAGCGAAACTTGTTTGTTTTGATATTTGTTATTCTGGGATTATTTCAAAGGATAAGAGCACATAAAAAGATAACAATGTTGTTTTTGGAAAAGTAGCTTTAAGATCCGTGCTATTTTTTCCCCGAAAATGTGTCCAATGAGAATTTTCTGGCTCACAGATGCCATTATCATCAGTCCTAGCAGCCATATATTTATTTATGCCCTCTCCTCGCCTCTCTTACTGTTACTATCAAGTTGAGCGTTCAACCAAATCATCTGGACAGAAGAACCGAAAGCTAAGAGCTCTTCCAGGAGAAATGAATTTTCATCTTCATCCTTGATTGTTAACAGATTAGATCCTACAAAAGAGAAAAGTAGCAAATGAACAAGTATTTGTGCTTATACATACATATAATTTAAAAAATGTTTCCTATACCACTCCTTGTAGAGTTCAGGCTTTAAAGAGTAAAAAAAAAAAAAGAAATTCCATTATTTGACATGATTGTGTGTGTGTGTGTGTGTGTGCGTGCATGTGGGCATGTGCACTTGACTCTGGGGGGGAGGTCAACCAGAGCCTCACACATGCTAGGTATGTGATTTACCACTAAGATACACACCCAGCCCCAAATTTCCACCATTAATAAATGATTTTTGATTAAAACTTTCAAGTAAAGCCATATTTATTAACACATACAGGCTTGTGCTTAAGAAATTAAAGCAGTATTAATTTTAGAGAACATTAAAAATTCATAATGCAAGTGCTTTCGAAAGGACCTTTTCTTGGGAAAGTGTAATATGTTGAGAAATTGTTTTATGTTTTCAAATTCTACATTGGACACTGAGTTGCATATATTACCTGCCTCTCAAACAAAGAAACTCAATAATATGCATTTTTAGTAGTTTTTCTGTTACTCCTAATGTCACTAACTAATCAGACAAACAACGAAACCACATTGCTTACTGAAATGTCAAGCAGAAGCACATGAAAGCATTTTACCATCACAAAAGAATTACCTTCCTTTTTGCAAAATTCATGAGCAGCCTCAAAACTCATACTGTCTAGGACTGTAGAAAAACTGTAGCAATTACTCTTAAATTTTATCCAGGGAATAGATGTTTCTGAGCACAACGTTGGATGTTCAAATAATTTTGTCTCTATGAAGAAAGATCAGTTATGATTTCAGGGTGGAGTTGGCGTTCATTTATTGAAATAAACATTGCATTACATTCTATGAATGACCAAGATAAATACATGTAGTAAGATTTTCATGGTAATACTCTGAAAGATTAGATATAATGTAAATGATTATGAGACTTCAGCCAGTTTTTAGCACTTCTGAAAGAAATAATCCTTACCTAAACATAGCATGGCATATTAATACATAGTTTTGTAAGCTCAGTTTAAGTCTTGACTGGGTCATGTTTACAACAAGGTTGGGACATCTGGAAAATGGAATTTTTGGAAATAGTTGCAGCAAAATGATGCTGGCAAAGGGATTTCTAAACGTACAAAATACATTCTATCAGTGCCGAGTATCACAGATTAAAAAAAAAAAAAAACCCTTACTAACAAACCTATGTGAGAAAATAATGTGTTCAATAAAGCATCATACCATAAAATAAAAGAAACTTGAGAGAACTTTGTAACAGAGAGCAAGCACAGCAGTCAGACACAGCCATGCTGAGATCCTGGCTCTGCCACTTCCTATGTGTGGCTGTAGGCACATGACCCTACATACTGGTTTCTTTATAAAGGGACCTAACAATGATACCATTTTTCCAATTTTAGAAGCTTAAATACATTAGTGCCTGGGACTTCACCAGCACTCAATGAATTCACTGTTTTCAAAAAGGGAAGAGCAGGTGTTATAGTACATTAGGAACAGAATTATTTATATTATATAGTCATATGCATAATTAAGCTTATCAACTAATCAAATCCTCAGTCACAGTCCTCTACACATACTGCTCAAGTTTGTTTCTAGTTTGATTTTCCTTCTTTCCCTTACTGTAAGCTGCGATGTAGGCAAATCTCAACCCCAGCTTTGCCTCGCACATACCCAGTCCTGCCATCCCTCTGTTTTCATCCAAGCTTTTCTCCTAAGGGTGCTTCATCCTGTTCTATTATTGCTTCTTTATACCTCACTGTCTCAAGGCCCATCTGCACTGTCATGTCCTTCAAGAAGCCTTTCTGTGTTTCCCCAAATGGATATGATGCATTCTTTCCTTGAGAATTCCACAACACTTGCCATTCTATTTGAAAGCCATGCCTGGTATAACAGTTATTTGTCCTTATATCACTGACCCGAGCAGAAACTTCTCCTAGACAGAGACTTCTCACAACTCATGCCCATACCGCTGCTCAGTGCACTCTTGCACACGATAGGTGTACAGGACATATTTTTGTGTTGAATATAATGTACCTACCAGTGGGCACATGACAAATGGCACCCTGCAGAAATGACTCGCAGGCTGCACTATGCCAGTGTCCATTTGTGTCAGCAAAAACACAGTCACCAAAGAAGGATGGCTCCTCATCTTTCCAAAAAGTGAACGAGGATTTGGTGCCATCTGACCAGCCAAAATTACGACCGTTCTGTGGAAGGAAATTGAGTCATCATTTACTTGGAAAACTGCAGGCAAGGTTACCCAGTGCTGTCTAAGCACCCCATATTTCCCACACAGATTTTTATTTCCATACTTTTTTATAAGACAGCTTATGAAAACAGCCTGAGAAAAAGGAATGTTTGCCATAAATGACATCTTTTTTTGGCTTTTAGGAATCCTTGGCTTCTTGCCACCATAATTTCTGAGTAAGTAATCAGAGGGAAGTAGATCAAAACCTTGTTTCTTTACACCAAAGTAAATTCCAGATTGATCAAGGATTCCAACATAAGATTGAAAACATAAAAGTGTTAAAGAAAACTTAGTTACATTTTTAAAATATATTTGGTGTATAATCCAAGTCAGATAAAATCCAGAGACCATACAGCAAAATTGACTGCATAAAATTAGAATATTTTTGATACAAAAATACAATAAAGCTATATCCAATACCATTCTTTCACTCATTCTACTGGCAAAGATTAACACTTTGATAATATTGTGTGGTAGTAAGGATGTGGAAAAACCTGGATATAATGGCAGGCATGGCAGCTATGCTTGTAATCCCAACACTTGTGAGGTTGAGGCAGTAGCACTGCTGAAGTTTGAGGCCAGTTTGGGCTACATAGTGGGATCAAGGTCAGCCTGAACTACATAGCAAGACTCTGTCTCAAAAACAATAAACAAAAACACTAGGTATTATTATAGAGTGTATAAATTTGTGCAGAGTATTGGAGGATGAGTTAGCAGCACTTGTTACAATTTGCATGTGCTTAGTAATTTTACTTCTAGAAATTTATCCTAACTGTACAAGTACTTTTTGTTGTGCAAATATGCATTCATAGGAGAATGTTTTAATAAATTGTGGCACAGTATATCCTTATGTCCTGCTATTCCAGAGGATGCATGAAATTTTTTGTGCTCAGGAGGAAAATTACGGAAGACACACTAAATAAAAAAGCAAATTTAAGGAGCACATACATAGTGTGATCTCATTTGTGCTTAACACACAATGTGCATATTCCTCTATTACATGTGCAAAATGTGGATACACAGGTAATTTCTAGATGGCACACAAGAAACTGCTTACAAGGGAAGTGGAGCAAGGGTTCAAGATAGAATTGAGTTTAATTTTCACTACTTTGTGTGATACTTTCATTTAAAAACACCAGAAAACAAAACAGAAAATCCCACTACTAGAGGAAAAAAACAAAACCCACACCACACATGCTAAATTTTAAGAGGTACTGAATTAATTAACAATCAACTTTCTAGGCAGGAAGCATGAGTAATTTTTCTTGGGGAACCCTGATGTGCAACCAGTTATCCCAGTGCAGTGCTTGAGTTCAAGGTGTGTTCTGAAGCACAGATGTGGCGGGATTCAGGGGTGCTTGGAAATGACCAGAGAACTTTAGAGGAGCACTAAGTCTAAAAATGAAGCAAGTTGACGTGCATCCTAGAAAGATGGACACTCTTGTTTTGTAGTCATAGGCTGCTCCTAAGGTTAGTTAGCAGTTTTTGTATAAACCAACTATTTAAACCTTCAATTTACTGTATTATTAGGAAATTATTTTTTGTACTAAGTTCAGTGGCTACATCTTGTCACTAAGGAGGTAGATGCGAAACTCAGTTATGCAAAGATGTTCCAAAGATTCAGGACACCTACGTCAGTGGTGAACAGTCCAATCCAGTGGGCATGTCCCAGCCGGTTGAGGACAACGGTGAGGAAGGACTGATGATACTGGTCTGAAATGCTGACAAGTTCTGCTCCCTGCAGCAGGCAGGTTTTTCTTGCCTCATACCAAGTCATATTTGCATTAATTGTTTTGTAAGTTCTGTTTCCATATTCTAAGGTATTGGGCATTGGATACATATCTGGATTTACATGGTGTCCAGAAATATCTAGAACAAGAACAACAACAAAAAAAATCCTTGATTGATCAGGGAATTTTTCTTCCAGAATTAACTATTTTGAAATGAGAACATTACCTGGAAATATATACCCTGCTAAAGAATTAGAACACTTAGGGAATTTAATAAGTGGGTTTCTTTAAAAATATAAACACAGACTGAATCTTTTCTGACTTTTCCATTTTTGACCACTCTTTGCCAAACCAGCCACTTTTTGGTCGATAATCTCTTTGGTCAGGTTTCCCTCTAGTAGCTGCACTCTGCCTATCACACTTCTCCTGCAGAACTCCATACTTAATAAGAGATTATTAACAAATATAATGTAGGCATAGATTGCATTGCAAACTTAATTTTACAAGCGCATATTCTCAGATAAAACACTTGATTAAATTTCTGATGCCATATTATTGTCATTACCATGGTTAATGTATAAATTCTAAACAGAACTTAAGTTAACAAATACTACAAATATACACAATTGCTACAACAGTTACTATCAATGCATCACCTTGCAGAGTCCAGATTTATAAATCACAAGGCATGGCTTTTCCAGCAGGTGAGCAGCAGGGCTCGCCTGTCCATGAGTGGCTGTGACCAGGTGAAAGGCAAGCCTGTGTGGGACCCACAGGTGTTCCCTCTTCACTACGTGCGTTTGACTTTTTGTTTGGTGTTATGCTATGTGCTAGGGTAGGCTGAGTTTAGCAAAGCTGAGACATGAAAACAAAGTTAGGTTTCCTTACTACTTGATCTAACGTGGCTTGAATTCCTCTCTCTGTGTTCATTTTACTACATTTGAAACCACTGCAAAGGAGCATGGGGAGGTGTGGATATGGCCAAAAAGAAAAAAAAAGGACTTAATCCCATGCGTGTCCCTAACTAGCTGAAGTAATCTTGGGAAAATTAATTTCCCTAAACTTAAATTTCTGGTCTATAAGAAATTAATAAGGTCTCCCCTTGAGAGGTGTGGGCTGGAATTCATTGAGATTCGTGTACAGATCACGTGCTATTGGACCTGGACAGGTGGACACTCAAGAAAAACTGCTTCTTGCTCTCATCTCTTACTCGGGTCACACTCTCCCCGCATAAAAGTGGCGAAGTGGGAAACGGACTTTTACCTGAAAGTGCAATCTCCATATAGTAATAGCGCATACTGCAAACCAAAATGAAATTATTCTATTTACCAACTAACTTGTGATAGACTGTGCTTCTATCAGTTTACTCTTTGCTAGAAGTCTGTCTGCCAGTCTATGTACCCAGTTTGTGGTTATTTATACTAAATCAGGGTAATAACAAAGTAGCTATTTCAAAATGAGGAGAATTGGTAAAATTAATGTAATTGAAATACAGTGGGGTGTGGTGGTACAGGCCTGTAACCCCAGCATTCTGGGAGGCTGGGCAGAAGGACTGCAAGTTCAAGCCTGGCCTGGGCAACTTAGTGACTTAGTAAGGCTCATTCTCAAAATTGAAAAAATAAATAAATAAATAAAAAGGGCTGGAGATGTAGCTTAGTGAGAATACCGTGGGTACCACTAAAATTCCCCAGTACCACTAAAAAAAGTAATTTCAGTTGTTTGTGTATGTGACCCAAATACCAATTTGACTATTTCCCTCACTGAGTTATAGTTCTCTACTTTTACATATATGAATTTCTCCTTATGTAATTAGTTCCTTCAAGTTCCATCAATGCAGAAGTGATTTTCAGCAATGTGATTTCATCACTCATTGCTCTGAGAAAGAAAGATCTATTGGAAATCAGGTTCCAAACTAGCAGGAGTGGATCTTGACTTTGCCTTTCTCTTTTTATTCCTACCTCTTTTATCTTTCCGTCAGATAAGCACTTTTAGGCTCAAGCTCAAGCTCAGCACACAGTTTTGTGGCAAATAAAGGAGTAAAACTTTGGTATTCACTGTCTTTTATAAGAATTTGTTGGGTTGAATGAAACTTTCATAATAACAATTTATGAAACTATCATTTGTTCACCATATGTTAGAAACTATATTGGGCATTATGTATGCATTGAATGTTTGAAATAGTGACTACTTCATTCAATAGATGCTAAAATCAAGGTTTTTAGATAAGTTGACTGAAGTTTATTTACAGAGGTGAGGTAGGAGCCCCTGACGGGGTGCTTCAGGCCAGTGTTCCCAACCACCACTACTCTCTTCTATCTCCAAAAGAACACCTATATTGATAGTCCTCAAAATACCAAAAAAAAAAAAAAAAAAAAGTGATCAGAGAGGGTAAATTTCAAGAAGAGATCACTTTCACAGTAGTAGAAGAGAATCATCATATTTAACTGAGAGTCCTTAAGTATGTTATTGTTTATAGCTTCAAGTTCTTTATCCGTAAAATGGGGAGACTTTGGTCTATTTCATTGTCTTGAGGACTTTTATGGCCTACCGCTTGTAAGCCAAGGCACAGTGCCAAGTTTTTCATAAGAGCGCAAGTACAAGGTATACTGATATTCTTTCTTTCCCTGTAAGGCTCCTCCCCTCCTATATTACTCTTGCTGTTACAGATTTAGTATCTTCTTTCAGTTCCTGACTACTATGCTTAAGTGATAATTAACAAGAAATGGAGAATTACTGGAACTGCTTTTCTGAGGATGGAGCACCACTTAGTAAGAAGTGGAATTCATACTCCAAGTAACACATATGTGCTAGGCTGCGCCGAGTGCCACACAGCCCTGGGCTCAAAGGTGCCCTCCCAGGGTGGTGTGGTACAGATACCTGGTACTCAGCAAAAGCAAGAGCTGTGGGTTTTATTTTTACGACTCAGGGTCACTCACAGGGCACTCATACACCTTATTGATCCCGTTGGCCGTTTGTAAACACGTGGTGCTATAATTCGGATCTTAAATGTCTCCCAGGCCCATTTGTTAAAGACAGTCCCCAGGATGGCTTTCCTGGGAGGTGGTGAAATCTTTAAGGCCTACTTGGAGGCCTACTTACAGGTCACCAGGGGCTTGCCCTCGAAGGGACTGTGGGAACTTAGACTCTTTCCTCTTCCTTCCTTTCTGTTTCCTGGATGTAAGATGAGTGGCTTTGCTCTGGACATGCTCCTGCCATGATGTATTGCTCTGCCCATGGAACAGGGACTGGGACCTGCATAACTAGGAGCCAAGCTAGATCTCAAGCTGACGAACACATGCATTTGGCATTCCACACCAGGAATCGCTGGGGTAGCTGCCCTTCGGTTCAAGAAACATCCTGCATGTCCTATTTAGCCACAGAGACCATATTTAGGGTCCTGAGAAAACAGTGAATATGTACTGGTCATTTTCCTGATTCTTTTCAAAAACTTTCTGGGTAACATTTAAAAATTTGTCTGAACAGACTGCTGTGGCTTAGACATAGTTTGAATGCATTCCGCAGAGGCCTGTGTTTTGAAGTTTAACCCCCATTCTGAGAGACTAAGTGGGTGGCAACAATCTGAATATGAGGTTTACAGGGAGGACTTCAGGAGGGGACTAGGTTTACACAAAGTCATCAGGGTGGAGCCTCCATGACTGAACTCTGGTGGCTCTGTAGGGAAAGAGAGAGGATACACTCACTCTCCCTGTCTCTTGCCCTGTGATGTCCTGTACCGCCTTAGGAGTCTGTCGGCAAGAAGTCCATCAACAGATGTAGATCCTTGATTTTGGGCCAGAACTCTGAACCAACATGAAGTTCTTTTCTTTAAAAGGTGGCCTGTTAACTGCACTAAAGTGTTTCATTATAGTATCAGAAAATAGACTAATACAGACATACAATCCTAGAACAAAGCAATAAAACCACTTAATAGGCCTAAAGTGGATGCATATTGTTGGTATTCAGTCAAGGGGCCCCAGCAGTCCTTAAAACACAACTAAAGGACATAGTCCAAGGGTAGTAGGGATTACATGACTAAATAGATTTAAAAACAAAGAGCACATGCTTCAGAATGTTAGCTGTGGAACTGTTTACTCTACAGCTTTGTAAAGCAAATATGGAAGATAGGAGGGGCCAAGAAAATGAAAAGAATCAGAACCTAATTATTTCTTACCCTGCATTTTTTCACAGACAAATCCGTAGTCTTCTTTTCCACAGTCTTCTAAAAACCATTTTCCAGTGAAATGAAAATTAGGATTACTTGACAGCAAGGCACAGAGAGGAATGTGTTTGTGAACTTCAGTGGTATTATGATTTGGAATCTTTAAAATAACACACATGTTATAAAAATATAGTAACATGTAACATTATAACATTGAAGTTTTTATTTAGAACATAATTGTAAAAATCAAAACACTACTCTCTCTTTATTTGTATTTAGTAAACTTACAAGCCACTTCATAACTTGTAAAATAAATAATCATTGTGATGAAATATTACATTCATATGTGAAATTATATGACTAAAAAATTGACATATTAATAAACTAAAATAAATTTATACATACAAGTTTTGAAAGAAAAAGCTTTATTAAACAAATCTTGAATAATATTTCTTGTTAAAAAAATTTTTAAAAAATCTTAAAACTTACATTCATTATATCAAATGGAGACCAGTTAGAATAAGCCACAGGCTTTCCATCTAGCCATTTTTCATAATCATCACTTTGTAACCCTAGCCACACATCAGTGGTTTGGCCAAAAAGATTCATAGTAATGAAAGCTGAAAAATAGGAATACATTATCTAATTTAATACCATATAAACCATTTGGGTAATCATCAAATTCTCTTTAGAGCTCTGATTATATTTAAGTGATAGCAAAACTTAATTAGGAATCAATTGTAGAATTTGTTTCTTTGTCCTCGTTAAGGTAATGCAGTTTCTTTCACTTTTGTTTCAGTTCAAATTGACAGAAATTAGCTCCATAACCTGAGATTCCATCAGATCATTAACAAAGCAATTTTCAGTGTTCATTCAATGCTTTTTAAGTAACAGAGGATTTATCTACTATAATTAAACTAAAGTACATAATTGCCTAAATATCAAATATAAGTGTGTAAATTAATCTAAAGGGATCTAAAAATTATTCCATGCAATTATAGTAGATTGTATTTGGGATTATTTTAGCCATTTTGAAGCAGAGATCATAAATAAGTCTGTATTTTTTCTAGCTACTGGTAAAATCAAAACCTCCAAAGCTCAGTAATTTATAAAGCAATGCACTATACTGTCTTTTACACAGGTTATGATTCATAGGGTTCATGTGAATCAAACTGAAAAATTATATGTTGTCAAGGACACAAGATTTTAAATGTTGATTTGGAAATGTTAATATTTTTGGAATATTTTAATTATTACTGGAATAAAAATGGTTGTTTTGGCCCCATTGAGCATTGAGTACACTACCTTGTTCCACTTCACTTTCAATGGCCACCAGCGTCCCACCTTCTGCATCGCAGAAATCCAGAGCTCCTGTCCAGTTCTTTAGATTGCTTGAGTCTTTGGGAACCATCACTAACAGGCACTATCACAAAACATCAAAACAAAGTGTTAGTTTCTATATTTTTCTAAATGAATTAAAGATGTCTCAGAGACCCTGAAGATCAGCCTTGAAAATTCTCATACTTTTCTTGGGCAGAAAGAACTCATTTTTCTTCCAGCCTCCACAAAGGCATTAAAGTGACACAAAGAGGAGCGCTTTCAGGGCACATCCATGACCTGCTTACCTTTGCCAGGCAGAGCAGGAGCAAAGACGTGTTTTGTCATGCAAGACCTTACTCTGCTCAATGGAAAATAGTTGTGTTACTAAAAAGGGGCCAGCCAGCACGCAAAGTTTGAAGTGGCAGATTTAATCTCAGAAGAAATCTGGGTGTGACCATGATCAGTTTACTTACAAGCATACTGGCTCACCTTACCTAAGAGAGGGATACTGAGAAAGCAAGACACATCTCTTGCTAAAACTCCTTAAATACTCTCGAATCAGCCATTTAGTGAGTAAGTCAGTTGGGAAAAGCCAGGGGACAAAGCCCAATGAGAGGAGAAGCAGCAAGGGCAAGCTACAAAGCAGAGCTGGGAGGACAGACAGAGGGGAAGGCTGCCATCAGTGTTCAATGGAACACAGAAGAGAGGTTGTGGGACTCGGCAATAACAGTCCGTTGTTATGGCGAGAATCATGGCAGAAGGTTTTTTATTATGGGATGGGATGAGAAATGGAATGATACATACTAAGCAGGACTGGCAGGATTGAAGATAAGGTGTCTCCTCTTCTATAAGGCTCACTGAAATTTCAGTACATTGGTAGGACCAAAGGGAGTCAGGCAAGAGGAAGAAAATGGAGAGAAAAGGCACAGTAGATAAGGCAACGTGCCAGGGAAGTTAGGAGAGACTTCATGCAAAGGAATTTCCCCTGAGTTTGCCTCTGTCCTGCTCAGTTCTCAGTGTGACAAGCACAGCTAACCCCAGTCACTGATAAATCTGATCCCAAGATCTTGCTCCTCGGATCTTTGTTGCAGAAAAATTCAAGGCTATGACAGAAACCCACACCTGAGAGAGAGAGGGAGAGGGAGATGGGAGCAGAGGGGAGGGAGAGGGGGAGACCATTCTTCCCTATCTTACTTTGGAATAATGATCTTTCTTTCCTATAATTCTGTAATTTCTAAATTTGTCAGATTTCCTTCATCAAATACTTCTTTTTGTTTGTTTGTTTTTCTCCGGTACCGGGAATCGAACTCATGACCTTGCACTTGCCAGGCAGGCGCTGTGCCTCTGAGCTAAATTCCCAGCCCCCATCAAATACTTCTTCAAAACAGAGCAACTGTCTTGCTCTTCTTTGCACATCACGTTAGGGAAGGCCCCCGGTAAACATTTACGGAACAAAATGAGCATAAACTGGTTGTCCAGTGACAACCTCAAGCATCCTAGACTTAGCCTGTTTTTAAATGACCTATTTTTTTTGTTTTGTTGTGTTTTGTTTTTCTTTCCGGTACTGGGAATTGAATAGCCTGTTTTTAAACAGGGTGACTTTGATACTCAGGATGTATTTGACAATGCCTGGAGGCATTCTGGGCTGTTACACCTGAGGGGAGTGTTGCTATTGGCACTGGGGATACTGTTCAACGCTATGCAGTGCATAGGGCAGATCCCTTCCCCACAACGGAGAATCATCCAACCCCAAACGTCAACGGCGCTGAGGTAAAAAACCCTTTCAAAACCCGGTTCTGATCATGTCATTCTTAAGTTTAAATCCCTCAGGGGTTTGCTATTACTTTTAGGATAAAACCCAGAAACGTTGATCTAGCCTGAAGTTGATTTACCAACCAAGAGAGGAAATGCATTTTCAATTCTTTTGGTCCCTTTTGCCTTGTTTGCTTCACAAAGAAACTGAATTGGCTTTAAAGGAGTTCAATTTTATAACAACTATCCTTTCATCTATTTCTTTTCATTTTGTCCATTTCTCCTAATTACAAATTCTAAAGAGTGGCACATACTAATTATTAGAAAGTCTTATCATTTAATGTGAATTCACTTTGTGCTCAGATAGTCACACTAATGAACCACTCATAAATACCAATGAACCTCATTGGTTCACTTAGCCCAATAAATCTCTCCACAAAAGCACCGCCCCCATTCATTTCCCCACACTTTTGCCTCAGTCAAAATTTACCAATTTGACAGTATGGTCTCCCATAACCACAGCTTGATTGTTTCTTAAAATATAACATATTTACTAACACACTCCAAAATGATGTTATTAATAATTAAGGCAGCAAGAGGAAGTATATCATCCTTAATTTTAAATTGTCTACTTACTTACTAAGTTGCAAAAATACATTTGCCATCTCTGATTATTATTGTGGATTAGGGAGGTCCTACTATATTCCAAATTAATTTTGAATGTAAAATTATTTTTGTCTCAAAATAATTTTCTAGCTCAGCATTTGAAAATCCCATTCAGTATTTTTCCTCTGAATGTGATATTTTCCCAGGGTTCCTGCTGACATCAAGTAGCACATTTACTGAAGTCTGAGATTTGAGCGAGATCTCCTTCCTCCCACTCCATCCCCTCTACTGTCCCTTCCCAGAGAACACCTCACTCTCCCATTCCCATGGCCCCATGCTCTCTGCCAACACCACCTTAGCTTAAGCTACTGATCTTTTGCCTGGACTTTTGCAGTAGGTGCAATGTTACCCTTCTCACCCTTGTCCTCCAATAGATGCTTGGCCCTGCAGCCTGAGTGATGCTTTTCAAAACTTGGTCTTGCTCACATCCCTCTTTAGTTTACAGTCCTTCAGGAGTTTCCCACTGCTCTTAAGATAAAAACCAGAACTTTAACATGATACTTCCTTTGCCTACTTCTTTTGTCTCACCTCCCTCTAGTGAGCTCTCTGTTCTTTCTTTGATTTCATAAATGTCACATTCTCCTTCACCACAGGACCTTAGCACATGCTGCTGTCTTTACTTTAATGAGCCTTTTCTTCTGACCACCTCAATTGGATCTGTCCTCCTGTGATACACTAATACAATTATATCACTTTTTGGGTTTTGCCTGGGGTGTGCTGTGGACTGAACCTAGGGCCTCATGTCTGGCAGGCACTTTACCACTTGGCTATGTCTCCAGCTGGAATTGTGTAAGTTTCTTTAATACACCACAGATTTAAATTATGCAGTTATTTTCTTGATTGATTTACTGAAGTTTCTTCTCTCTGTAGTGTGTAAGCTCACCAAAAGAAAGCGTTGTAGCTGTGTTTGAATTCCCAGTATCTAAGAGTTAAGTGAGTGAATGAGTCAAGTGCTAAATTTCCAAGGGGGAAAAAGAGGAGAAAGACTCTTTTTGTGTGTGCAGTGTACTGATTGAACCCAGGGCCTTTGCACTGAGCTGTATAACTAGACCTTTTAAATTTTTTTTTATTTTGAAGCAAGGCCTCACTAAGTTGCCTATGCTAGGCTCCAACTTGATCTTCCTGCTTCAGCCTCCTAGAGTGCTGGGATTGCAGGCATGTGCCACCACAGGCAGCTGAGGAGAGAGTATTTATAGGGAAAAACTATGTTGTGCATAGTGGAGAGCGTAGAAAAGGGACAAGAACATTGGATTCAGGGTCAGAAAACATGAAGCTGATTCTCAGCCTGACACTTACTTATTTGCTGTAAACTCTCAGAAAAGTTATACAATTTCATTAGCATCAGACTTCTCACACATCAAATGGGAATAGTATTCCCTGTATTTTAAAAATTCAGTAGAATAACAAATTAAAAGTATACATGAACTAACCCTGCGAAGTCCACCAAGTGGTGAAAGCAACCTAAACGTCTATTGGTGGGCGAGTGGATTACAAAATGTAGTATATACATACAACGGAATATTATTTTTCCTTAAAAAGGAAAGAAATACTGTAATATGTTATAATACCGATGAATCTTGAGGACATTACGCTAAGTAAACTAAGCGATTTGCAAAAAGATCAATACTGTATAATTTCCTCGAGTCATCTAAACAGTATTCATAGAGCTATAAACTAGATTGGTTGCCAGGGAGCAGGTGGGAAGAAAGAGGAGGGAGCTCTTGTTCAGCAGGTATAGAGTTTCAGTTCTCCAAGATGAGAAGGATCTGGAGATTTTTTTCCGCAGTCTGAACATACTTAATGCTAGTAACTGTGCATATGCTTAATGCTATGTGAATACGCTTTAAAATGAGCAAGATGTAAAATTCTCTTTTATGTGTATTTTACAAGTTAGTGCCAAATATACAGAGGATGATCAACAGATATGTGCAGGCTCCGTGTGGCTTCATTTCACAAGTTAAGAATGAGAGGAAGATCACAAAGGAGCGACTGCCCTGTCAGTGCAACTGAACATTTACACTGAAAATTGGCTGCCCACAGTTGAAGAGCCATTGCCTATCAGTATATGAAATTATGACACAGCTTGGGTTTTTGATTCTCTAAGAGTTAAACAATTATGATTTGGGATGCATTTTAATTACTTCCACCTCAGGCCTATAAAGTTATTTTATTACAAGCATAAGGAGTGGAGGGAAAGTCTAGGACTTAATTGAAGACAGTATCAGAAATAATAAATCTGATTTACAATAGCCCCCTGGCAATTTTCTTTTCTTAAATTCAATTCTGCATGGGAGCATCAGCTTTATGAGGCTCAAGATGACATTGACCAAGCTAAGTTATTAGTTTGTCAATTCAAGGTAGGCAGAGATTTTTGCTGGTTCCAGACAGGGAAGACACAAAAGGAGCAAATGGAGTTTGGGCCTCTGGAGTTTATAGCGCTTTTGAGAGCAAGGGTTGGACACTCAGGGACATGCGCGCGCGCGCGCACACACACACACACACACACACATCTATCCATATGTGTATACACGCACTTACTGCACAGACATGCACACGCATCACACCGTACCAACCGTACAGTACAATGAATGACTGTGCTTGTAGTAAAAGCCGAGTATACAAATGGGAAGGGGTGGGGAGGCTGTTTTCCACAAAGCCTTTTGTTATAAACCAAACCTTTTTGTTCCAAAAGGTTTTCTCCAAAATGGGAAATTTCTTAAATCTCTTGTTACACAAAACGTTGACAAAGACATTTCAGATTCTGTGACTAACTCATGATGTTTAAAAGCCATCCCCGCTTTTTGATTACTTTCCAAAATGAGTATCTGAGAAAAAGAAACAAAGGCAACTGTTTGGAAATAAATTTACCTTATAGTTAAAGTACAGCCATCCTTTGGGACATGTTCCATGTTGTTTTAGTATAGTCTTTTCTTTCTCAATGATCCAAATCTTTTTTCGCTTACAAATACTAGGCATAGACACTGAACACTCTTCACTATCCCAGAGTCCTGCGGGAGGAATGGGTTAGACATGGCTGAGAAACAATAGTGACTTTGTGGCCATTCACTAATGATTACTGTTCTTGTGACTGCTAGAGTTTTTCATAATTTTTTTGAACCAAACTTAACTAGTAATTATAGAGTTCCTAGTGGCAAGAGCTGACTGGGCAAGATGCCAAGTCAATGATTCTAATTTAAGAATGGAAGTTTTGAAATGCTACATAAATAAAACTAACTACACAAATGCTACAATGGAAATCACAGAACTGAGTAAGTCCTGAGAACATTTTACTTGGGTAACAAAATAATGTTTATTGAGTAACATTTTTGTCTTACCATATTTAGCTTCAGTGTACAGAGAAAGAAGATTCTAAAACAATAGATGATCATTTACAATTCTTTAGAAAACTTGGGTTTTCTAAAGAAAACTTGGGAACATCCCTAATCTACAAATATGAATTTAAAAAACTATTGAGCTCTAAGATAATGCTTAAAAAGTTTCAGATTTCAAAACATTTCAGATTTCAGATTTTGGGATTTCAATAAAGCCTATGGGAATATTCTCAGATTAAAAAAACACACACAAAAAAACCCAACCCTAAATCTTAAATACTTCTGGTCGCAAGCACTTTGAGTAAGAAACACTCAAACTGTGTAATAATTTAAAAATTAACTCAGGAACTTCTAAGAAAGTAGTATTTCTCAATACTGACTCTCCAATAAAATAGATTCACACATAAGTTTGTCCTCAGTAAGATATATTCACAAATCCTTGGCCTTCTGCAAACTGATTTTTCTTTTTTAATTCAGAAGAGCTGTATTTTCACAGTAAAGATTGAGGATCCAATTCTTTAGCATTCAGATCATCAATTCCGGAAGAGGATGGAGTGCATGCAGATTGCAAAGGCAGGTTCAGTTTTTCAGTGTTAGAAATATGAGCCCAAAAGATGTTGGGTTTGAAGGAGGGGCTGGAATGCTGTTTCAGTGCAGATCAGCCGCTGTTCTCCCAGGCGCACAAACAGCCCTTTCTGTAGGCTGTTGTGACATCTGCTGGCAAAAGCAAGCCGACTAACCCTGGGTTTTCTTTTCCTAACTGCTGAGGCCCTCCCACCAAGGACTGCTTTCTGCACTTACCCCTTTCCTGACCTGAGGCACAGATTATTTATGAATCTATTAGAGAAGGGGATATCATTATCTTTTATTGGCTAGAGAGTGTGGGTGGGTATGAATGAACAATCAACCCAAACAACACTGTACTGATGAAAATAAAAAAAAACCTTCAACGTAAATGTGCTTTCAAGTCCAATTTGCAAACAGTTGTTCTTCCAAAGCAAGCAGCAATTAATGCCAGGTATTAAAAAAAAAGAATACTAAATTGAATGAAAGTTTTCACAGAGGGTCAATGTTTGGCCAGCTATAAATTGGATACTAGCAAGAGATAAAAAATAGGTCCACTCTGAAATTTCATAGAGAATATTACTTGTCAGGTATATTTGTTGGCAGTTTCAATGGACTCAGTTTTGGTGCTCTTTTGGCTCATAAAGAAGGATTTATCCAGATGTAAATTATTTTTAAAAAGATGACTACATCAGTTAAACAGAAGGAATGACCATCTATAAACCGTAAAACTGATAAAATTGAACACAGTCAACTGAAAATAAAAATAATCACACTTCTCACTGAACTGATACAATATAAAAGAGAGTTCAAGCTTCTAGAAAAGTTTGTATTATAAATGAAAACATGATTAAATAAAATAACCTGTTTTGGAAGAAATGAAGCCGCATCTCTGGCTTTGATTATTGACAGATATTTCTCTTCCTTTGTCCCAGTTCTGGTATATTAATGGAGACCCATCACTCCAACTGTAGAAAAATTAAAAATGTGAAGGTCATGTCATTTTTGCATGTTCTGTTTTCAACACTATTCTTGGACCTCTGGGGGTATGGGTTGAAAGATTAATATTTTGTGAAATTTAGAAAAATAATCATGTATAGTACAGTAACTGCAGTTAACAATACTGTATTGTTGTGCACTTACACATTTTCCAAGAGAGTAGATTTTTTCTAAAGTGTTCTTATCCAAAAATAAACAAATAATTACAATGGCAGGAAGCTTTTGGAGGTGATGATGTGTTTATGACAAAGGTTGAGGTGATGTTTCCGTGTGTGTGTACTTTAAAAACACATCTTTGGCCAGAGACATGAAAAATTTACAAGTTAAAGATAATGTCAGATGGATAGTCAACAAATTGATCACTAAGATCTAGTCCAATCATTCTGCACATAAAACTTGTCAAACAAAATTAAATGCAAATTAATCTCGATTCCTACTGAAATTCATTGTTGGCTTTTTCTTCTTGAAGTCCAATCCACCAATTTGTACCATACTTTGATAACTATTAAAAAAAGAAAGAAAGAAGTCAGCATTTATTCTCCTTGTTTTCCTTTTCACTATTAAGATTAATGGAACTGCTGCTAATGATTTTCTACTCTTCAGTATGTTACCCAGTTATCTAAGGAAGAATAACCAAGGCCCAGCATCTTAAAAAAGTCTGAAACTTCACTACCCTAAAATATTCCCTCCTCATTATGAAGGAAAAATTGAATCAAGCATTGAAAATAGTTTTAGTTTCATACAACTGGAAAAGTAAATTTTCTAACTTGATTAAAGGGGTTTAAAAGGTGATATAAAGTAAAATAGAAGATGAATTATTATTCTTACTAAAACATCAGTGGTTTATTCCCTTAGTGATTTATGGAAGCCCATTATAGGTATATCTTTTTGAAAAGCAACTTGTTACAAAGACATCAGTAAAGATTTTGAATTTTAGGTATTAGTCTGATTGTTAAGCTTTAAAGAGTGTTAGCAATCAGTGAGACACACAATATAGGATAAAGGGATGCTGCAGAATTTCAGGTTCAGCAACTAGAAAATTATCCTTTGTGTATTTTAACACCAATTATTAATCACTCAGGCCTCAGCAGAGTAAGGTGTAAAACTGACACATGTATATGCGTGTGCGCACACACGTTAGAGCAGGTATGATTGCCCGACTTATGACCCAGGAAATGGAAATTCCCCATTTAACTATAAAAGGGGAAGAGGCTATAAGGATTTCTCTGAGAAGTTCTAAATCAGCAAATTGTATGGTGTGTGTACTATGCGTGCAGATGTGTGTGAAATACAGTTTAGTTTTTATAATGCTAGAAATCTGTTAATTTGAAGACATTATATAATTAGGTTTGCAAACTCATTTCTTTTTTAAAGACTTGGGATTAAATTTTAAGATATACAATTTTTCCATATAAATTTCAGGCCATCACACAATGGAACCTAATAACTTGCTAACATTCTAATTTATAAACAGGTATTTATACTCCTTAAACAGTGTGGCTGTCTGCCACATCAGCAATTTGAGAATAATGCAAAATGGAACAACAGTAATTTTGGATCCCAGAGGTGTTGTTTCATGGACGTGTTCTTTCGTGCGGAATTCAGATTTCCATTGTCAGACTTCGGAATTGGTCCACTGAGACCAGCTGTGAACTCAGTGGGAGAACCACAACAATTTCATTCCATCTAAAGAAGTCTCATGTGCAACAACAGTGGAAATCATGGCCTGATTGTTCACTGTCCCAATTAAGGACCTTTAAAGAGGAATTATAGCTACCGCATCTTAAGTGGCATATTTATTACCACCCCAATTATGCTCTGCTAATCTCCTACACGGCGTATCACAACCTGTTGTGCTATGGCACAGAACTTCACAGGACAAGCTAGAAGATACCCAGTGTGAAAATCCCATTGTGAAAGATAGATGTTTTAAATTTTAGCTTAGGTATAAGGCTATAACAATGGAAACCTTATTAATATGTGTTTGCAAAAGAAATGTGATGCATTTTATAAAATCATTTATGTCTTGTTGTATATACAGAGCCATTACAGGTAGCATTATATGGGAAGAAAATTTACCAAAAAGATATAAAACCCAACAAGCTTACATATATTAATCTACTAAGCTACCTAAGGAAGAATAACGTGCTGGGTGTGGTGGCACACTCCTGTAATCCCAGCACTCAGAAGGCTGAGGCAGGAGGATCCTGAGAGTTTGAGTCCCGCCTGGGCTACATAGTGAGTTCAAGGCTAGCCTGGACTACAGAATGAGACTTTGTCTCAAAAAACAAGGCAAAACAAAACAAAACAAACAAAAAACAACAAAAAAGAATAGCCTGTCATCTTTTAAAATGTTTTCATAAAAATTGACAAAACTGAGTTAAGAGTTTAAAACTAGATTTTTGAGGAGGACTAATGGATTTTATGTATTCTTTTATGTGTATTTAGAAATAAAATGTAAGATAATGATATAAAAATCCAATAAATTGTCATTTATATTTTAAAATGCAAAAATTGCACAACACAATGTAAAAATGTTAGCCAAATAGACTGATTGGCTAGGTGTTCATACTGAAGAACTGTTAAGTGCTTACAACTGTTTACATTTTTGACATTAATTTGACTATCACGATAAAAAAAATCCCCCCAAAACCAAAAACCAACCTCAACTTCACTCTGATCATGTCCTGTGGTCTATTATTCAGATTGAGAGAGGAAACACTGACTTATTCTTTTTCTAAAATGGAAGTATTTTGTTAATTTTTTTCTTCAGATTTTTAAAGCTATACCCAGTTTTGTGATTCATAATTAGCAATTCTATTAGTGCTTCCAACTAAGTGTTATTTGTTTTCTACAGTTTCTACTTGTTACTCCTCGCTGGGTAGCTATACAAAAATATGTAATTTAAAAAGTACTTAATGACTACTTCTTCTGACTCTGCGTACATTTGTAGGGTGGGTGTTCCACAAAAGTGAGTGATCTGACCCTTGTAGAAGGGACCGCAGGGAGCAAACTCATCCTCCTGCCTTCTGGTCACACAGAGAGAGCTGCATTACGGACCAGCAAACAAGTCCTCAGACACCGAACCTGCTGGTGCCTGGCTCGTGGACACGCCGCCTCCAGAACAATGAGGAATACATTTTGGTGTCTGTGAGCCCCAACCCAGTCTTGGTATTCTGTTCTAGCAGTCCACTTCCCCTGGCTCAGCCTCGACATTTTAAATGCTCCAAAAATTTTCTTTTATGGCATAGTTGGGCTTTACCTGCAGGCAGTAACTCCCTTATAATAGGACATTCTATATATTAACACAGTCATAGGTGGGGTCACTTTTTTTCCATAAAAAGCACTACAAGGCTTATCTACTTTGAGATCAGAGTCTTCAACTAGATAATAGTATTGGCTGTGACTTCTAAACTGTTAAAGCCATGAGCCCTATAATTCTTGAATGGAAGGTATTGGCTCCATCATCCCCAATGTTTTCCTACTTCCCAAAGACTAGGAGATGAATTAAAAGAAGAGGTAAGGCCAGGTGTGGTGGTGCACACCTCTAATCTTAGCACTCTGGGAAGCTGAGGCAGGAGGATCTCAAATTCTTATCCAGTCTGCATAATTTAGCAACTTAGTGAGATTCTATCTTAAATCTTGTCTCAAAACTAAAACAAAACAAAACAAACAGAAAAGAACTAGGAATGTAGCTCAGTGCAAAGGCTCTGGGTTCATCACCAGTACTGGGAAAAAACAAAACAATATAAAACAAAACAAAACCCCAAGGGAGGTGAAGAGAGAAAACCTAGAAAAGGTGCGTGGGTGTTTAAACTCTGCTGGAAAACTCAAACGAATCCTTCACTGGCCTTGTCTGAGACGGAGCTGACAGCCACCTTGGGGAGGGAGTCTAGAAGTGGCATTTGGCGTAAGGCAGACTCTCTGCGCCCATGTGCTGTGGGCTCTGCTGTTCTGTGGTCACAGGCAGCACAGTGGAGAGTTTTCAAATGACCTTAGGAGTCAGGTGGCACGGCCTCCTGTCCGAATTCCACCACTTAGCTGCTGTGTGACCAAGTTGTTTAACTTCTTCCTCATCCGCAAGATGTACTAACAATAGACATTGCACAGAGAGCTCGAGCCGAAGTCCTCTTTATTAGCCCATTTTTGCTAATAAAGATGAAGAGGAGTGAAATGATTGAGCAGCAGAGCAAACCTGTCTCTCATTGTTTTCTCTCAACCTCTGTAACAGCGAGAAGAACAAGTCTCAAAAACCTATGGCTTTTACTGAAACTTGAACGTCTGAAGTCAGACTTAAAAACAGTATAGAAGAAGGTGCCAAGCTGAATTGCTCGTGGTGAATTTTGCTCAAGTACCACTCTTATTTTGCTGTGGATGAATTCTTGCTCATGTGCAGAATGAATTGTGAGAAGTTCACCACGCAGCCAGCCACAGACAAACTCAAAGGAAGCCCATTCTGAGTTATGGGTATGGAAAAGGTACTCCGCATCCTGATAAAAGAGCCAGGGCGCATCTGAAAGAAAAATAAATGAGGCCAATGGTTGCAGCACTAAGAAGGGGAAGAGGGGCTGAAGGGAGGAGGGGATTGGCAACACAGAAGCAGCAAGATATATCACGTACAGGTGCGAATTCCCTATGATGAATGCGATCGTCATGTATACCTATGATGTACCAATGACATTTTAAAAGAGAGATATAATGCAGGCTTAAATAAGGTATGTTATGATTGAACTCAATTTTAACCTGGTCACTTAGCATTAAAAAGGTACACAAATACATACATTTATGAATATATACACAGACATACACACACCTAAATAAATATATAATTTGCTTTTTCCTCTTGTTCTACCTCATGTAAGAAAATTTTACTATTATTCAAAGGTCAGAGACAGATACATATTGTAAAATTGTGTCAAGAAAAAGAGAATAAACTATGATATTAGTCTTCAATCATACTTAATAATTATTTTGAGTATTAATTATTGACATTAATTTGAACAAATTAGCTCCAGATTGACACAAGACACTCAATTAAGAGAATGTGAGAATAAATAGTATATACTAGCACTTCCAAGGTACAGAATTAGAAATTTGAGAACTACCAGGACAGTTCTTACCATACTGGTACCAGAATGGAACCTTGGGTCTCACATCTGCAAAGTGAAAGCAAATGACCTTTACTGACCTTTATTCATAAGGTGTACTGTCACAATTACTTCAACTCTAAACATACTATACTGTATTTCATCTTTTTAAAAGCCATTTAAAAGAAAAATATTTTGTGCTGTTCAGAAGCATACTTGAAGAGGATTGTCTAGAGAAGTTTCTGATTAAAGAAAGGACAGGAACACTTGCTGAAGACTTACTGTGTGTCACACGCTACGCTTTCACTAATTCATTGTACAGTCACTTTCACTTACTTGCGATGTCAGAGTGGTGCTACCTTCTGACTATGTCTGTACAGTACATATTCTTCAGTGTTAACTAGTTACCCTTATTTCCAGTGAATTAACCTGGTGTACTCTGCTGGTGCTATTTTCTCACTTCCCTATGATACATTGTTTAGGAAAAGGGTGCAATTTTGTTCATCATACAGATTGCTGGTTTGCAGTTCAGGGTGCTTAGATCTTGAATTTTTTAACTCTTCCTATACATTTAGAAATCAAACATGTAGTAACAATCTTATTAACATGTTTACCTCTTGGAATTTTGCATATCCATTCACATTTGAAGCCACAGTGTGAGGGCAGCAATGTTTTGTTTGCCTTAAACACAGCACAATTTCTTGCCTCTTCTCCAAAATAAGTATTGTCTAAAAATGAAGAGATAACCTGCAGCAGACGAAGTTCATTATTCCTTAATGATAATCCTCCATAACAAGTTTCAAAAGTTCAAAAAAGGCATCCATGCACATAAGTCATTATAGATTTCTAGAGAAAGCTTCAGTAATGTCTGGATGTCACTCCAGTTAAAGGTTGTTTCACATTTGTGAAGGACAACAAATTAGTATTTAGCAATTTTTTCCCCAAAGATGCTTGTTTTAAAAAAGAAGCAGGCTACTCCAGAAGGAAGAAATGAGGTGCAAGCTTTATTTTGAACTTGCTCTATTTCCTAACTAGCAGGATTAGTCTAGTCTTGGAAACCTGAGTAAATTTAGAGGCTCTTGAATGTACCAGGTCTGGGTATCACCTTTGATGTTGATTCTTTCACATATATGCTAAGCCTTTAGTTGCTAATATCTAAATAAGCTACAGTTAGCTTTGTAATCAAGACTAAACACTTTCTATGAATAACCACGTAGCTCACATAATAGGGGTTCTGAACAAAGAGTCAGTCTTCTCAATTGTATAATAAGTGCCTGACAGAAGAGTGGATGGACCACAAGTAAAGTTGGGCTAAAGATTTGGGGGGAAAAGCATGTTTTGAAGCCACTTATACTCCTCCTCAAACATGTACACAGCCATGCAACAATTCACCTAACATATTGTATCTGTGGGTTCAGAAAATAGTGTAGGTTTGACTTCATTTTGTACAGAGGCAAGTGGTACGGACCTCAGTTCACTGCTTCATGGCCTTATTCTCATCTGAACCTAATTATCTATTTATCTTCTGTTGCCAGTTACTAAAACAAAACCAAGTACTCTCAACCTCTCTGTACCACATTTTGTTTTTCAAGTGTTATATTGACTTTAATGCTCTTTTTGAGACAGGGTCTCACTATGCAGTTCAGGCTGGCCTTGAACTCACTTTGTAGCCCAGGCTGTCCTTGTACTCAAAGTGATCCTCCTGCCTCAGCCTGGGATTACAGGCATACGTCACCATGCCTGCCAATGGCTCTTTCACTCTGAGCTTTGTTTCCTTCATTAGCGCAGAGGATGGGTGCATCTGAGTGGTCTCTCAGATCTTGCTTGCTGCATTTCTGATGCCCTTTTCGAAAGGCAATACTGTATTGAAGATGTTATAATCATTTTTGTCTAGCATATGCCTATTGTTATTTTGGCTCACATTAGAAGCATTGAACTTTTACAAATAAATCCCATCCTGGCCAGAAGTTTGAACCCCATCTATATAGTGAGCTTCAGTATAGGATCTACTATAGGCTCTACTTCAAATTTAGGTACCAATATTTTGCCGTCTGGAGATATCATAACATTGTGACTTTGGAGTCTGGCAATCTGTGTGCGAATCCTGGCTCTCCTCTGTATTATGTTAGGCAAACTACTAATTATTCTGCTGCCCACTGCAGCGAGCTGTTGTAAGGAAGGGATGACATCCTTAGATCCTGCAGGAGGGCATGCAGCTCAGTGCATGGAGCACTGTGAGGGCTTGATAAACAGTGGCCGTGTCACACGCTCACTTACTAGAGCCCTGTTTCACAAGGGAAACTTCATAACTTGGTTTTACACATGCCCTGGGATGACTCCCATTTTAATCTGGGATACTGCTTCAGTGTTTTACAGAGGTTTGCAAGTATGAGGCTGAATGAAAAGCAAGATTTTTATTTTTCCTTTCTGGAACAACTCCTCTGATAGAGGTGACATTTCTGAGGTTGGCATTTCTGTCCTTTTAGAGTGAGACAAACTGAAAATGGCTTTCCAGAATGTTCTTCTTGTCATTGTGACGTGGAAAAAGGCCATGTGTTCACACAATCAGGAACCATGTAGGAAAGGAAGGGGTAAATGGTATTATTTTAAAGAACAGTTGCTTCTCTGTCAGATGCCTGTTCACACTGGAGATGGTTGGAGGAAATTTTTTGTTTTCAGGATGAGACATGATAGGGCAACAGTGTCAGAACAATCTGGCTAGCAAAAGTTCTCCAGGACCTTGACAAAATAACTCTGGGTACAAAGGTCTAGTTTTGTCATGAGAGACACGGACATTATTTCTAGGTTCCCTTGCTCAGTTTACCAGTGGTCCTAGGGCCAGTTTGGAAGTACTTACAGGAGTTCCATCTGACCACTCCCAAGAACCTGCACTCTGTGGGCTTCTTTTATTAAATCCAATCCAGAACTGCCTTTCTTCTGTCCTAGGAAGAAAAGAAACACACACTTTGCCTTTCCCATCAAATTCACAACATTATACAAGAAGTTCAAAAAATCTTTCAAAATATCTATGTATGCAGGAAACAGCTGATGCTACTGGTAGGACTGATCAAATTAACAAAATTTTATTTATCATTTTTCATGTGCAAAACCCTCTGCTATGAAATGAATTGAGAAACGATTTGGACTCACATTCTGTTTCTCTCAGTTTCTGTGGTTTAGTCATCAGTGATGTGCCGCTGGGGGAAAGTCAACCCACACTGAGAACATGACTTTCTCACCAGGAACGGCAATGCGTTGCAGTTAGGACATCAACACACGAAACCAGGTTGGTAACAAATTTTGGGACAGGTTTTCCCGAGAGGATTTTTTACTACTTTAATACTTATTTACTATTTTGCTCCACTGTTCATACTACTTTACTGTGCTTTGATTGGTAGTTCCTTTTTCAAATGTTCATGTATTCTCTGAAAGAATATCAGAGATGGTGAATTAATCACCATCATTCGCACTTAATAAAAGGTACACAGTAGGCTTGGGTTTTTTCAGATCCCAATGTAAATAATTCTGCAGCACATCAGCCTGGGCCATGGTAGATTAATTTCAGCAGTCACCATTGGTTTAGCCTTGGCAAGAAGCTCCGCAGAGAACCATCTTCCGTCCTATTAGGCCCAGTACAAATATGTCAAATCACAGAGTACTCAATAAATCAAGCAATAAAGCCTAACTGTACAATGAACCATCTCACTAAGATAATTTTCTGAGAATAATTTTGAAGAATTAAACATTTAAGAGATTCAGAAGTTGTGACAGATGCTTTATTTTGCTTAGTGCAGAGAAGCAAGCCTATTCTGAAGCACTGCTTCTCAGATATTTGACCTAATTTGCCTGAATGCTACGAATTAAAGTCAGTGCAACTGAGAAAGTCTGAGTGATCATTGGTGTCTGGTTTGTGGCTGTTGTGATGAAACGTTGCTTTCAAGGTTATGGGAAGCTGAGACTGACCACCTTAAGGTTAAGCCAGGTACATTAATCTCCAAAGCACAAGCTGGACATCCATATCATGTTTCCTGTGCAGATAATTTTTTATTCCTTTCTCCCACTTTATTTGGAGTTCATTTTTTCCTGTCATATACTAGCTCACAGAAGACAGATTTATATTTATTTTTCTTACTGGAAAATTTCCTGAGATTGTATGATTTTAAAATAAACACACATGTGTAATTTAACTGAATTCCCTGGGTAGTCGAAGATCAATAATTTTTTTTTAGAAGATCAATAATTTGATAGATACTTGGTAGCACATTCTAGTAGAAATGTCAAGTGTGAGAACTTATGTAAACAGAAAGGACATAGTGATATTTGATCTTGAAGAGACTGGGAAGAAGTTCGCATGTGGTTATTTCACAGGGCAAACGTCACTAAAATCTAAGGACAGAATATGTGAGTATATTTTGCAAGGTGCTGAAGTGATGAAGCCCAGCACAACCTAGAACACTGGATACCACCCACATCCTTTGCATCTGTGGCCCTCTACCTGGCTAGTAATCTAAAATTAACCAGGAAGCTTCTTACGCATTAGTCTCAGAGAGTCTGATTTCAGTGGCTCTTACGTGGGACCACAGGCTTCTGTGTTAAAGGTGTCCCAAGCCAATTGGATCCGCTATACTCTGGAACTGTAGCTTCAAGTCAGAATTTCTTGTATAAACTAGCAGTTCCATGGGATTTTCTCAAAAAGAAAAAAAGGAGTTTTGAGCTTCTTTCTAGAAGCCTTCACAAGATTATAATACTATCCAACTATATAACAAATTTCCAACATTTACATTGCTGTGTAATCACATTTGACCTTGTACTTTTTTCTCATGCGATACTTCATGGAACTCACATGTGGAGATGTCACTAAAACTTCCACCTTTAAGATTATTTTTGTAAGGGCTAAAGATGTATAACCCAATAGATGTTAGATATTAACTTCATTATGGGAATATCCTACAAAGAATGTATGGCAAAGGCTAAGTTTTTCCTCAAAAAACAGTTGTGCATTTTCTTTGAGACTCAGGCAAGTGTTTTGTTGAGCCTGCAGATTTCTTGAGGTTGGAGCACATTGTCTGGTACTATTATAGGTGGCTAAGTTAGATAGAAATTAATATACTGTCAGAAAGGGACTGGGCTCTCAAAGAAGTCAGCAGAAAGAACAGACATCAGAATTGTCACGAGAAGTATATCATTATACTGAGGCCAGGCCTACATGCCTCCCTAAAGAAGCAGTAACTTAGAATTCTACTGTACTTAGCGCCACCTGGTCCAGGAAGTCCAGATGGGCATCAGTTGCTCAGGTGGATGAGCAGAGCTTCCGGACCCATCCCTTCCCAAAAATGCCTTTGTTCCTTCCATGTATCCTTGCTACATGACTCGCTTCCCTGTTGGATCAACCTTAGCTAAGCAGCTACAGTTGCAATCCTACAGGTTGATTGCAGTTTGGCCCATATTGCACCCACATGGTGACTTTGCTGTATAAATTACTCCTGACAAAGAGCCTCAGTGGCAGCCCACTTCCTGGACCCCTCCTGTCTCTCAGGAGCTATCTCTAGTCCCCAGTAAACATTTCCTGCTCTTAACCTCCATTGTCTTTTGATTTCAGGAGACATGAACACAGCGTATCTGACATCTAGCAGGTTGGGCCTTATATTTCCCCCTATCTCAGCATTACATTTATTTTCATTAAATGAATATATGGAGCCTTGGAGATATGCCACCCTTAGACCACATCTTCAGGGCAAGATTTTGCCAGCTGGATCTCCAGCCAGCTATACATGTACTGTAACTGTGACTGTTCCAGCAAAGAGTCTCCCAAAATGTACACTGGCTGACAAGAACATCCAAGAGGCCAAGTGGTGGGAGGACTCAGGAAAAGAGACATGGTGGCTGCCTTCAAATAATTCACAGAACCATAGACTTATCTGTACTGCTCCAGCTACAAACTGAGGGTGGTAGGTTTCTGGCTTACTAGAAAGCTAATTTTTGAAGCCAGTTTCCACAATAGAAAGGGCTTTCTCCCAGGCGAGGGGCATTCTTAAACAGGAAGAAATTATGTAGACACTAGATGAATTCCACTGTGGTGGAATGTGCGGAATTCCTCTGTGGGGTGGGAGTTAACTCAGGACCTTAGGTTTCTTCCAATTTAAACTTAATTGAGTTTCTAACTCTATGGAATTGGAGAGTTTATGAAAGTACAAATAGACACAAATAAGTGAATGCCTGTTTCCTCCAATGTAAAATTAGGAGTTGGATGGGCTCCTTTTTCAATCACTAGAATTTTTTAAAAAAATAAAATCTTAAATGAGCTCTCAGAAGATAGAAAATAATTAGCAGGGAGAGCTGATCTGATGAGTCAGCAAGCAGGGACCCCAGCTCTCTGGCCATCTACTCCCTCTGCTCTGAGATGCTAGGACCCTTGGAAGCATCAGAGAGCAGTTTGAAAACCACCACGTGAAACAGATCCTGAAATTTAAAACAGCAATTTGGGATACTCATCGCCAAGAAGCCATTACAAGGACATAGAGTATTCAGCTGCAAGTTTTGACAATCAGCAAGCATTTACCGATTAAATTTGGAATGTAAAAGCTCGTTCACAAAGTTTTCTTCCTCAACATGGGCGAAGCTTGCAAGATGGGCTCCAAATTCTTCACAAAATGCCTCAGCTTCTCTCCACGTTCTTTTCCTCAGGACTTTTTCACTATGAAACACCTGCACAGTAAAAGAAAAATAATGCCATCGTGGATAGGTGTGGCTGTTTAATTCTGTTTAAAAAACAGCAATATTATGCTTTTCATTCGTGTGTGTGTGCACGCATGCAAGTGGGTTTGTTCCGAGCGCCTCTCACATGCTAAGCACATACTCTACTGTTAGCTGCATTCCCAACCCCTTACTACTTTCTTTTTTTTTTCTTTTTTGGTTTTTCTCCGGTACCGGGAACCGAACTCACAACCTTGTGCTTGGCAGACAGGCGCTTTGCCGCTGAGCTAAATCCCCAGCCTCCCCTTACTACTTTCTTGAAAGCTTGATCTAACAGAAGTAAAATTTGTTGAACTAGAGTGTGCCTAGTCCTTGTAAAATTATTAGCTCATTTTATCTTCACAACAAATTCATGAGGAGAACGCAACATACAGTTTTTATAAATGAGTTCCTGGAAGGCTTCCCCCCTACAAAATCTACCACTGGCATATATTTTTCACTCAATTACTGTCAAGAGATGAAGAAAATCAGGCTAAAAAAGGTTAAGGATTTCAGGTCACAAAGCTACAAACTAGACTAGATCTGGGACTAGACCCAGGATTCTTTGCTTCTAGAATCCATGAATTTCTATCCCAGCAAGATTACCTTCTGACAAATTAGAACTAGATGAATGATCACGAATCAGGCTGACCCACAGCAAGTAATGAGAAATGGGGCCTGAGGCTTGGCGCAGATCTTTGGGTTTTGGCCGAGACAGCAGGTGCTGTATTCAGCCGTGTCTCAGTTCTCTGATGCTTCTCAGATGAAGGGTCAAGTAGTGTGTCTACTTTGGCTTTTTTTAAAATCATGGTGAGGGACTGAAGACGCAGGGCTTCTGATCTTCACCCTTTTTATTTTTATTGTCCAGCGTGAAATCTGAACCTCCGAAGCCAGGTAGGTACACCCTATGGCCAGCGTTCACTGAACTCTGTTGTGCTGATACCAGAATACATAGCTTTCCAGGTCCTGTGGAACACAGCATAACCTTTCCATCTTTTAAAATTATGTGTCAAAACTTGCCTCCTCTGGGAACCTCTTCCCGAGTCCCTCTAAATTCATAAATCCTGCCACCATGCACATCAAACACACCATGCATTTGTTGACACATCAGGATGATGTATTGTAGGAAAAGTACTAGGCCAGGAGTCTGAAGACTAGGGATTTATTCCAACTCTGCCAATTAATAATTGTGATCTTGGGCACATCACTTCATTTCACTAGCCTCAATATACTTATTTCAAAGGTTTAACTTACCATTCTGCTGGTAACTTCTGAGCCTATGAATTTAATGTAGGGTTTTATACATGTATCTTTGAATGGAGAGTATGCACAGTTATTTCATGCCGTCTATGAGCTGCAATCTATGAGAAGTTTGAGTTCTTCATCCTGTTCTGCACGTGCCCAACTACTAAAGAACATTCTCCCGGACTTAGGGAATCTCTCTTTGTACAATAAACCAAAAGAAATCCACCAAACATAAGAACAGTATTTCAAAAACAGTATTTTGAAAAATTCCTGATAAGAAGATTTTAGGAACTGATTTAAATCTAGGATCTAAACCTGATTTGCAAGTAAACAGTTCTACAAGGATATTATCTATATGTATATAGACACATATAATTGGTGTGTGTGCCTGTGTGTGTGTGTGTGTGTGTTGAGCATCCTTAGTCTGAAAACCCAAAATCTGAAATTCTCTAAAAACCCAAAACCTTTTGTGATGGTGATATTTTTGCTTTCTGACAGTTTAATGTATAAAACTTTATCTTATGAAGAAAGTTGCTAAAATATTGCATAAAATTATCTTCAGTGTATGTATATAAGGTATATATGAAACCCAAATGAGTTTTGTGTTCAGAATTAAATTCCATCCCCAAGCTATCTCACTAAATTTTAGAATCTGAAATCCAAAGCAATTCTGGTTTGAAGCATTTCAAATAAGAGAGACACACTGTCTCTTTCTCTCTACTCATATGCACATATATAAACACACAGACACACTAACTGAATGTATTAGTTTGATCATCAGGTGTCAAGCTATAAATGCTATCCTCAGTAGCAGAATTGTATTGCTCCATAATAAGTACTTTATTCATGGGTTTACAAACAATATTAATACCCAGTGAATGCTGGCCTCCTTTATTTGGTATATGCTTGGTCCAGCACTAAGTATAACATTGACTGGAACTTCAATATTATAGGATAGGCCCCTAAATGACCTTGGCGGACTCAGCCTGTCTCCCTCTTTATTGCAACTGGGGGATAGAATGTACCAAGAGTTCGACATCCTGAGGTAAAGAGGAACTTACTCCTTCAGGAACAAGACATCCTGCAATGCTTTAGCCCAGGGATTCCAGTGGTGTCTGAGGTATAAAGGCCAGAGAGGGGTACTTCTGGCACTGTGGTGCCAGGTGGGGCATGTGTAGAGAGGTTTTCTGAGCAGCTTTCCTGAGCCTGGGGGGATCAGCCCACCGTAGATCCTATGCTTCTTGAAGTCCATCTCTGAATAATAACGCTGCTTTGCCTGATTTGTGTGACTGTTCTGTCTCACTGGATCAGACTCTGGAAGCTGAGTTTAGGTCAGGAGTTCAGCGTTCGCCCCGGCTGATAACCAGCGCATGGCGCTTTCCTGGGATTAATACTGGCACACGGTATTTCTGTTAACAGATAGATACCAGTCTTCATGAGGTCACCATGGACAAGCCCGATTTCCCTTAAAATTATTTGAATACTGTATAAATGAAAGGACAGAGACAGGCAGCAAAAGTAATTAAGCACCTGCTATGTGCCAGACATTGTTCTGGAGCAAAAGGTGTTGGAATAAAGGAAGTTTTGATACACAGATCAGACTGGAGTCACTGCAGCACTGTTGAGAATGCCTAAGTAACCTCAGTGTCACCTTGAAACAACTGGCCAGGCCAGGCTTGGACTCCCAGTCCAAATAGCAGGGTTGAAAGGGCCATCTTTCTTCATGTTCTGTCTTTTCCCGCTTTTCCACTGGCTGCTTGCACAAGGACATTGCCTTAAAGTGTGTACAGTCCTTCACTTCCCAGCGACCAAGGGGATGACTTCCTCGCATGGCGACACAGCCACCACTGTAGCCTGAAAACAGAAAAGGAGCATTTCTAAAGCCAGATGAGTAAAACATTTGTCCCTGCAAAGACAGCTCTGTTCAGAGCATTGAATAATTGACGTCTCATAGTGAAGCACCCAGACAAGAACAATAAAGATTAAAAAGGATGTTTTGTTGGCACGATTATCTCACTCCTCTTCATCTCTGGAGAAAAGAATAGAAGATGGAAACGAGAGAAAAGAGGCTGTGAAGCCTGAAATTTGGACACTGTCTACGTTTTAGCTCAGTGACAGCAGACGGGAAACGGGGAGCAGTTCCTAGGTGACACCCGAATGCCCTCCGCCCCTTAGTGCTGTGCTTCGAAATCCCGTTGTGAAAAATCAACAATGAAAAGTGCACAGTGCTCATCCTCTGAGAAGTGGATTCAACGGGAAACACACTTACATAAATAACGGATTCATGGATGCAAGGCACACAACAGAGAACCAAACTGCAAGCAGTAAACCATGGGAGAATGAGATAAATTCTTGAGATGCGCTAAAGCTCTTGGGACAGGAACAAGGACGGTCATCAGGGAAAAGGAAAGGAACAGCTTCTGAATTAGAAAGTAAAATACAGGGCTCCCATCCCCGCCTTCTTAGTTTGTGTGAGATATTGGGAAAAGTAATACTGTGTAGTTATGGATAAAATTTCACTTTTTTTTGTACCTGATGAACACCGTGGAACAAGAAACATGTATCTTCCCACAGAAACAATTTATAAATTCAGTTAAGATTCTTAATTTTGTCAAAAAAATCTATACAATTCCTAAGACAGCTAAAAATAGAAGCCTTTCAAATTTCAGTGAAAAGTAGTGGAAAACAGTTCTGTTCTAAAAATAGAAAAAATATTGAATAAAAATTAGACTTTTTCTTGAATCCAAGGTGACCATTCAATAATTTAAATTGACATTTGACAGGCAAAGAAAGTTATTCATGTGCAGCATGCCTGGAAAGGCTGTTTATTAGCTGCTACAGAGAAAGGACAAAACAAAACAACTCTCAGTTTAGTGAAACAGAGGTGCACAAACAATCCACTTCAGTAAATGTAACTGTACAGCCCTACAATTGTACAGCGCTAACTGTACAAAGGTTCAGGGTTCGGAAGAGACGATGGTGCCTGCCTGGAGACATCAGTGAGGGGTTTGTGGAACGTGACATTTGATTTGAGTTTTGAAGAATGAAAACAGAGAATAAAGTTTTCAGGGTAGGTTTATTAAAAGCCAATTATAATGGAGGCAGCATTTGAAGTCTTATGATGATTCTGAACCTAGAGACACTTTAAAAAATGTAGTCACTCAGTATTAAATTACTTTGCTTAATTTCCCTTCAGAAATAATAGTTTCAACTCTTTAAAAAAATCAGCTACCTAGCCTTATTTTTTTTTCAACTATGTTTTGGTTGTATTATGCTCACAGAAAGATCAAAGAGAGGGAAAGTGAAGAGTGCAAGTGAGAAGAAAGAAGACAGAGAAAACTTGCGAAGAACTTCTCCTGGAGGAGTGGGACAGAGTATGATGTAACAAAAGAAAGATCAAAGAGCTGAAGAACTGACACTTAGGATCTCAGGAATCCTAGGTGCAGAGCAAGTGTTGGCACTGGGCATCATGGTGACAAGAGTCCCTATCCACGAGAAGCTTACAGTCCTGTGTGCACGTGTGCTGACGCATCAGAGAGACACACAGAGGAGAAAATGGACAGTTGTAAAAGAAGAGGCATGCTAAGCATGGCTCAGATAGAGCAAAAGGAAGTTGGGGGAGAGAGCAAGCTGGTGCGTGCAGGGTTATCAGGTGTCTCCAGTGGCTCAGAATAGCCAGTTAGCAAGAAAGGCGGAGGTTGGTGGGGGCAGACAAGGGAAAGAGATGATAGTGTGCACCCACCTTTGCCATGACCAAGGCTTTGCGGGTTTGTTGAGTGTAGTTTTGGAGTACAGCTCACAATCTAGTTGGCTCATGAGCAGTAGGGGAGATGTTGTTTGCTCTGTGCCATGAAATTGAACTATGGAAAGCCACATGGAAGCCCCAGATGTAATCTACTTGTGGAACTGTTCTAGTTAAAAGAGTAAGGAAAACATACACCCTGCTTGATTCTTTTGTTTTTCCTACAAGGCATCCCCTTGGAGCCCCATTTATGTCACAGCTTAGGTGTGAAGCCTCCTAGAAAGAAATAATTTGGCTCCAAATTAAGTCTCAGCACAAATACTTAGTAATGTGAAACTTGAACAGGTTGGTTAATCACCATAAGGCTTATTTAAAATATATGGGCAATAATTTTCTTGTCATGACCTTTCATAAAAATAAAATGAAATAGTGTATTCACAAGGACCCCATAAGATAGGAAGAGAAAAATCACTCCCAAGATTTTTTTTTTTTTCATCTTACGGCTGTTTTCATTACAAAAACTGGGATTTTGTTCCATCAGTTCTGCCTGCATGTTGAAAGAATGTTTAAAAAAGTTTGCATCAGCAAGTTTAAAATGTAATACACTTTTTTGTTGGTCTTGCATTTTGTCTTACGTTCCCATATCAGACAATGATTAAATAGCTGTGGTTGTAGACACTATAGATATTCAACTCATCTTCATTAGTGAAGAAGGAGATGTTTGCGAACCACCCGAAGATGAAAAGTGCTGCAAGAGTGTTATTGGTATTCTAAAGTGGTTAACTTAATGGAACATTTGACCCAAATTTTAGAGTCTCAGCCCCAAAGAAGCAGTAAAGTGGTGTAATAAAGGGAGGCAGGACTAAGGGAGATATAAACCAAATTTATAAGCCAATTCGTGGGGATGCTTGCAGAGCCAAACACAAGGGGAGGGGTACAGGAAAGAGCAGAGGCAGCTTTTCTCCCAGAAGACGTGTTCTTACATTTGGTAATTCACTGCCCACTGCAGGAGAAAGACTCTCATCCTTCTTCTCAGTGGTGACTCTCACATTTCCGCCAAGTCTCCTCCTCTGCCTTCCCACCTATTCTCCTTTATTCTCCCTCAAACATGAATTAGCAAACTTCCTGAAATTAAGAAATTCTAATTCACTCCTCTAGTCTCTTCCATTTGACAAAATTATCGAATTGTAGAAAATGAACTGAGCTGGGAAAGTAGCTACTGAGTCAAACACCTAAATATAAACCAACCCACCAACCAACCAACCAAACTGATTTGCAGCTTCAGAGAAGGAGGGACTGGTGCTGGGCCTTAGTGCATCTAGACCAGTGATGGAGAACCTTTCAGAGCTTTCAATGATAAGAACAGCCCGTTGTAGCACATGCGCCATTGATTTGCCAGCACTGCTCTAGACTAATAATCTGCTTTATCCTCTTCAGTTATTTCTCCATTGCCTGCAACAGCCCTCTCATTCTCACCTCTCAAGTCCTCTACCCTCCCCACCTACCTCTCCCTCTTCCTTCTCTCCTTCTCCAGAGAGAAGTGAGGCTCTTCAGGATGCAGCAGGGAGGTTTCACAGAGTACGGTGCATCTATCAGGCACTGTACCCGGCATTTTCTACAGCCTTTCTCCTACCAAACTTCAAAAACTTGAGATCGTTATAGGTATCTGCCTTTGGAAAAACGGGAGCATAGAGATTCAGTAACTTGCCAAAGTTCACATAGTTAGTGAAGGTTTAAAATCCAGGATTTTAAACCAGATTTTTGTGAATTTATTGTGAGACAGTACTAAGGTACAGCATGTGTGGACGTTCAATAAAGGGTAGTTGAATGAATGGATGAATGAATTCTTAAATTATGCTCCTCTTTCTCCATGGAGTGCTCTCTCACTCTCCTGGGAGAGTTTCTTTTCTTTGTGTGGGCCCAGGGTTTCCTTGAAGATCTCCTGTCCCATTTTACCTTGTATGTTGGTTACTTATTTGATTATGAAAAGATATGAAAATGTTCAAAGAATGCTTAGAAACGAGGCTGAGTTTGTCCTCATTATTTGGTGGTTCATTTCAGAACTCTGACGAGCCTCAAGACGGAGTGCTCTGTCTAGGCAAGTGCTGACCTGACAGGCTTTTTGGTCTTCACTGTGTGTAGGGCACTTTCAGAAAAACAAGTCAGACTTGCCCTGCTGGGATCCAGTTCCCCTGGTCCTTGGAAAGCTTCCACTGAGTTGGAGCAACCTGGGGGAACCGTGCAAAACAGGCCTCCGAATTCAGCCTCTCCATCTAGGAACAGACGTTTGCTGCAGAGCCTATGGTGACTGTAAAATAGTGATCTCAGGTGATTTTTTTTCTATCATTTAGATTTGAATGAAGCTCTCACACAACTCAGAAGAGCTTTTGTAATGTCTTTTTTTTTCTTTCCTTTTTTTTTTTTTTTTTTTTTCTGGTACCGGGGATCAAACTCACGACCTTGCGCTTGCCAGGCAGGCACTGTGCCACTGAGCTAAATCCCCAGCCCTTTTTGTAATGTCTTAATAAGTATAGATGCACCTATTTTCTTTTCCACAGATCAGACTCTGCTTGTATTGAGTCTTTTAATCTAAGTACAAAGTTTCTACATAAAATGCCAGCTTCTCCTCGGATCAGACCCTAATGTATCATCTTTCCCTTTAATCAGTGGCAATGGTTATCTTTTAATAGAAATTATTTTTCCTATTTCACCTGGATATTTTACTTCTTTCAAAAAACTAAGGATCACAGAGTCTCTTTGTGATTGCTGTTTGTTTGTTTGTTTAGCAAAAGCAACAGAATTTCCTGATAGCTTGAGAACAGAGAATTTTGTCCTGAAAGAAATGAAATATAGATAAAAGACACGGTAAGTAAAACTTTGGTCCTGACTTTGCATTTAAAGTACCATTTTGAACTCAAAAAGTGTTTCATCACACACACACACACACACACACACACACACACACACACCTTTCTAGATCTGCCCACTTAAATGGCCAAGAAACAAAAACACACAAACAGTGAGCATCTGAATGTCCAGACTGTGTACAGAAATAAGGCCATTTCCTCCCAAAAGACCAGGGCTCCTCGATGAAATAGGTGACTCAAAGTCT